GGCTTTCAGTCAACAGTGGGCCCTTCTGTTCTTGGGCAGTCAAAACTTATATCTGGATTTTCAACTGCATGGGAGCCAGCACTTCTCACTCGTGTGCTGTTCAAGTAGCAACTGCATGTATATATATCCAAATAGATCCATATATATCCCAAGGAAAAATAATATTCATTCATTAATACGCATTAATGAATTTAGAAAATGAAATGAAATGATAAAAGATAAAATACTAATATATGCATTTTAAAAATTTCATAGAATAATCTAAATATTATCAAATGAACTTTAAATGTAACAATTAGGTAATAGTAATTTAGAAGTGCCCAAAATACTGCTGCAGGTGCTTGCTATCAATACAAATGTATGAGTAAGTCTTTGTCCCTAGCTTCGAGATCTGGGGTCATTTTTTTCTTAATGTTTGTTTTATTTTTGAGAGAGAGAGACAGAGTGCAAGCAGGGGAGCGGCAGAGATAGACAGGGATACACCCAGATGCCCCTAGGTTCAGAGTCATTTTTAAACTTGCCCCCTACTACCTAACTTCTTAATGATACTTACTAAAACTTTATTTCATATCCATCACCATGTTATATCCAAATATCCTCCGGTCTGGGGTATGAAAAGTTTCCCAGCTCCTTCCCCTCAGCCTCTTTTCCCTCTACTTTATTCTATCACCTATCAGGTAAACTGATTTCTCTCCATTACTTCAGCATGTCATACATATTTTGATGTGTTTCACCCTACCTAAAACATCTGTTGGCCCTCTACCTGCAAATCTTCAAGGCCAAGCTCACTCTTATTTTCACCTTTATTTTCTCACTTCATTATAAAAGATGGATGTGTAGTAGATAGAGACCTAGGTTTGTTTTGTTTTTGTCTCCCAAAGAACCCAGCGGAGTTCTGGTCACATGGTAGATGTTGTAAGTGCTGATCAATTGATTAATTCGCAACGGGGTAACTAAATTATACAAAATGATTTATCACTGTGAAGAGCATGACAGCCTCTGTACTTTTTGCTATAGTTAATTTCAAGATTATATAGATTAAATGAGCAATAGAAACAAATTACATAGTTTAAGTATTTAAGTTGCCTATTCTCATAGTCATACTATAATATTTGTTATTTTTGTTAGTTTGCATAATACAAATTCAGCTTTTAAACATTTAAACTTCCCTTTCCTTTATAAATTCAAATAGTGTTTTCTAGATTAGATATTAAAAATACTAAATGGTAAATAAAACCTTATTCATGTAACGTCAGTCAGTTGTCCACTCTCTCCCCTGTATCGTCATGTTTTCGTGGGGTTTTTTTCTCTATTTACTGGATATTTCTTACTAGCATGCAAGCATTCTATAACTTTTACAAGTATATACCTTTTAAGTAAGGTTTCCTGGACCACACGTTCTCCAATAACCACTGCAAAACACCTCAGTAGAATTGTCTGTTCCGTCACTTCTCAAATAAGTACAAATCATCTGGGACTCTTGTTAAAATTTAAATTCTAATTCAGAAGGTATATACTTGCTGCTTTAACAAATTCTTCCAAAACTTAATGGCTTATAAACAGAACATGTATTTGAACACATCCCTGCTGGAAACCTGTGGCTCAAGATCTTTCACATAGTTGTGATCAATGTGTTGGGCTGGACTGTAGTCATCTCTAGGCTTGACTTGAGGAAGAATCTGCTTCTAAGCTTCTTCCTTTGGCTGCTGGCAAGCCTCATCTCTTTGCTTGCTGTTGGCTGAGAACATCATTCCTTTGCTATGTGAACCTCTTTCTAGGGAAGCTCAACATAGCTGCTTAGTCCAAGACAGATAGAGAGGGTAGGGATAAGGAGAGGATAAACAAGACAAAACCTGAATCTTCTTGTAACCCAATGTCACAAGTAATGTCTCATCACTTTGACTTCTTCTCTTCAAGAGTAGGAGATTACAAGGACGTAAACACAAGGAGAGAAGTAGGAGTCGTTGGGGGGTTCCATCTTAGAAGCTGCCTGTCCAAGTAGATTTGGGGTAGGGGTTGAAATTCTACATTTCTAAGGAGCTCCTGGGTGATACTGTTATTATTCTTCAAGAACTTCACTTTGAAAAGAAAGGGTCTACACTTCCTGCCTCCAGTTCTATTTTTAATCACCTTCTGTTGATCACACTCACTCCAGTTAGGCTTTCTCACCCTCCACTCCACTGAGAGTGCCCTAATAGAAGTCACCAATGACTTCTGCATTACTAAATCCAGGGTCTGAAAAAAAAAACAAAAACAAAAACAAAACACTTTTTCTGAAAATCTTTCCTTACTTAGCTTCTGGAACATCAAGTTTCTATTTCTCCTCAGTTTTTCTGCTAGTTGTAGATCTCCCTGACTATAAATATTAGCATATTCCACAATCCAATCCTTAGAACTATTTTTTAAATCTACACTTAACTCCTAAATAGTCTCATGAAGGCTTACAGCTTTAAATTCCAGATATATGCTGACCACTCTCAAATTTACATCTCTAATATGAATTTCTCCCCTAAAATCCTGACAGGTGTACTAAGTACCACAGTCAACATCTCTACTCAGATATCTAATAGTAACTTCAAACTTAAGTTACAAAATAGAATTATTTATATGCCGCTGTCTCCCCCTTCCTCACCAGGCCCAGCCTGGCAATCTTGCTTCTCATTTATGTTTGCAAACCAAGCAAACAGTACCTCTCCCCAGTCAGTGGCTGTTCAGTGAAAAACTCGAGAGTCATACCTGAGTCCTCTCTTACTCTCATGTACACAGTCATGAAGCTTCATCAGTGTTGCCTCTTTTTATCCCTTGACTTTCCCCATCATTCTCTATCCTAACATCATCACCCCAGTACAGACCATTATTATGTGTTACATGGAGTTCTGATCGTTTTATTATTGATTATAGCTTCCAACCTCTAACCCAAGTGATTTTACTCAACCCATCTTCTTCTACATTCATAGTTTTCGTTAGCCTATAGAATGAAGTTTAGATTCTTTAATATTGCTTATAATGCTGGACAAAATCTGGCCCCTGATACCCTCTCCAGTCTCATTTATCTCTACTTGTTCACCTGGGCCCTAAACTTCAGCAAAGCAGGGACTGGGCTATTTAATGAACATTCCCATTTGATTATGAGTCTTCATGAACATGGTTTTTCTTTCTGAAAAGCTCTTCTTTTTCTATCTTGTTTGGCTAGCTTTCTCTTCATTCAGATTTCAGCTTATTAAACCGAACTTCTTCCTGAAGGCCATCTTTGATCTCTTAGACTGGGTTTGAGGCACCTATGGTGTAGGGCATAGTGTTATATACTTCCCTATCTTAACAGTTATTGTATTTTCTACTAATCATTGAATTATCTTTATTTTTTTTTCTCCCATTAAACTCTAAGTTCTGGGAAGACCAGATCAGCAGATGTAGATTCAAATATTTTGAAGCCTGAAAAATATAATTTTGGGGTCCTCTTTAAGAATTTATGTAATTATTAGGGTGCCTGGGTGGCTCAGTCAGTTAAGCACCTGACTTTGGCTCAGGCCGTGATCTCACAGCTTGTGAGTTTGAGCCCACATCAGGCTCTGTGCTGATAGCTCAGAGCCCGGGGCCTGCTTCAAATTCTGTCTCCCTCTTTCCTCTCTCTCTGCCCCTCCCCGTTCATGCTCTGTCTCTCAAAAATAAATAAACATTTAAAAAAGAATATGTGTAATTATTTATTTATAATTATTATTTGAATTATATACATATAATTTTCAAATACACATACTCAAGTGAAAATGAGAGTTTTCATTTATAAACAGAAATCACAACAAAGTAAAAAAGTGATAAATGTAAAAGCATGTGATCCTCTAAACACTCTGCTAGAGGCCCTTCCCAGAACCCCAAAGCTTAAGCTTCATTAAATTCCCAGTAAACACACCTCTACATGTTAGTCTTCTTTAAAACTCTGTTTCTAGTATTGAGAGCAGTACTTGATACATAACAGATACTCAACAAATATTTTGGAATGGATGTATTAACTATTTTCACATATTAGAGTACTAAAAATATATTTTTCCATGTTAGAAAATTGTTCTTATAATTATTTTTATCACTATTGTCATATTTCAAATACTAATAATACATATACCTGTTAGCATATCAGTGGGCTCTATGCAAAAAGTCTATTATATTTCATTACCACATGGAAAAAAATTGCATCAAAATATACACTCTACTCTTCTATATTTGTATGTATGTATATATATTTGTATGTGTCTCTATAACTTTATAGATCACGTGTATTAAAACTTTAATGTTGAATTACGAAGATTTTGGTTTTTCGGATATTACCACAAACAGAAACCCTCCAGAGAGAAACCATCTATGTTCTGTTTTCTTTATAATGTTTTTTATAAACATTTATCTGCGAGATAATAAGGATACCAGTATTTTATATAACAGAAATGCATAAAATGTTTTCTTTACAATGGAATTGTCCGCAAGACACTACTTAAGAGGTTATTTGAATTAAGGCAATAATCTTGCATTCGGAAGATAAGCTGTTTGGCTTACATCTTTATAGAGTTGAGTCTGTTAAAATAGAATTTAATTTAGTTAAGTTTCTTTTATAATAACATTTTAAATTTGCTGCGAGTTGATGTGCTCATGTCAAGACTGTTAGGGGTGTGTGTGTGTGTGTCTGTGTGTGTGTGTGTGTGTCTGTGTGTCTGTGTGTGTGTGTTATAAAGTGCAGCCTTCTGATCAATGCACACTTTTTCCTCCCATTTTCCTAAATACATCATGAAAAAAGGATGAGGTTTCCGCCTTAATTGCTTGTGCCTTTTATTCACATTCCTCTCTCAGCCAGAATTGTGAAAAGAGTGTTAGGAAAAGGCTGCACAATAGAGCTTTTCATTAGGCCCCAGCAAGGCACACAAAGGAAGGCTTTTGGAAGGAGTGAATGCAGGAGTTTAATTTGCAGGTGGAGAGTAGATAAAAGGTGCTGACACCTCTATTCTTCTCTTACTTAGGTGACCCTTACCCTGTTCAGCTGATCCCAACTACCATGGCAGCTGCGGCCGCAGCAGCACCAGGCTTAGGCCCGCTTCAACTGCAGGTAAGTCGGGGAAACAATGCAGAAGAGACAAAGGTTAAGTAAATATCGCAAACAGCTATTATCACGTTAAAGCAAAATAAGGCTAACTAGTGGTATTTGTCTCACACTTTTTTTGTTTGTTTTTGAATTTTCTTGCACCAATCCTCAACCAGAAGCTGAGTAGTCGATTCTTTTAATTTGTAGCCCTGTTTTCTGTCCTACAGATAACTTATTGTTAATTTTTATTGCTGGTATCAGTTACCATAATGGGCTCTGGTTTTGCTTTGATTACTGTGTAAAATAGTTGCATCACAGAATGGTCCTCATCAAGATAAAAAGAACATAAAGTGTCAAAGACATACACTCACAGATACTTATGAATCAAGTCAACTTAACAGAAATTACATTTAAAAAAATGTTCAAGATACACAGTATTGTTGACTCTGTAGGTCTTTTTATTCTCCTACTAATAATGCCAACTCAGTTGGGCAAGCAAAGAGAAGTAAATCAAAAGTGAGCACAACTTTATCCAGACATCCCAATAAAGACTGTTTTAGCCCTGAAGAATACATATTCCCATGTATTCAAGAGTGTCAGTGATAACTTTACCAGATGTCCAAGTGATTTTAGAAATTTTGTGTCTAGAGTTGAAAAGAATATTAATAATATTATATTAAAGGTATCTTTCATTAACTGTTTAAATCTTTGAAACAACATCCTACAAAATCTTCCCTAGCTTCTGTTGTTATGGACATCATAGTTATGCAATTAATGGGGTTAACAGATCATCTAATAATAGAATCAGTCACCCCTGTGAGAAGTTTTATATTTTCCTTTGCCCGAGAGACACAGTATATCTGTAAACCCAGCTATATAAACCCAGTTAAGTTATGCTTAAGAAACTTAACCTGTATGTACAAAAGTGCAGTATCATGATAGATGATCTTAGTCTATAAGGAAAAATAGTTTTATATTGTATCATTCAGAGACAGATATATCTGGCCAGCACAGGGGATTGTCAGAAGACCTGATGGGTTTCTGAAAAACCAGTAGAATCTCACAGGAAGAACACAGGAGGAGCCGAGACACACTGTTTTCTACAGAGGTTAATAACGGTCATTTCTATTCTACCTTTTCCACGAAAAGCTACAGTGTGAGTGAGTGTTTTTTTTAAGTTGGAAGTACCTTGGGAAGTGTTAGAGCCAAGGGCTCAATAAAAGTAGCATAACATTTGTTATCCTTTGAAATGGCATCCGGGAAATAATGACAATATGGGAAAGTGCTTGCAATCGGTAAAACTTTACAAGAGTTGTGAAATTAAAAGAAGAAGGAAGTGTATCCAGAAATATATTTGAATGTGGAAATAGGAGTTTTGGAGATTTCTGATGTCTGTTTTGAAAGCAAGTTAGACATTCTTGTCTCCTTTCACCCTTGGGTTAATTGTGAGAGGAAGCCGGGGCAAGTATGTTTCTCTGTACGATTCTAGTAGAAAGTAGCTTTGTTAGGCAGCCATCCAAACCTCTCTTCTTACAGAGATGGTATTAAGATATTTGAAATTCTGTTATTTCCATCCTTATAATATGTCAGATCTCCTTAAAATACCAAGATCTTAAAAATATTTATTTTCAGAGCAAAGAAATGGCACCAAATGCATTTGCTCTTGCTTTCACTATAATTTGATCTATACATAGAATAAAGCTTTTTTTTTTTTTTTTTTTTATAAGTGACATTGTACCCATTCATATATATGAGTTTTAGTTAGGATCTCAGTAAACTAACACTGTGGCACAGCAGGAAAATTAATAATCCAAAACTCTTGTGGTAAACCATTAGCTACTAGTAAAACACATACGGGGGTACCTGGGTAGCTCAGTTAGTTAAGCATCTGTCTTTGGCTCAGGTCAGGATCTTGCCATTCATGAGTTCTAGCCCCGCATCAGGCTCTGGCCTGACAGTGTGGAGCCTGCTTGGGATTCTTTCTCTCTCTCTCTCTCTCTCTCTCTCTCTCTCTTTCCCTGCCTCTCTCCTACTTGTGCTTTCTCTCCCTCCTCTCTCTCCCTCTCTAAAAATAATTAAGTAAAACTTAAAAAAATAAACACTTATCCATAAACACACATGCAAATTTTTTGCTCATGATTTAAAAATGCTACTCAAATGCAAACACATTTCAAACATATGTCATGGCAGACTATCTGACTTTTCTTTGAAGTGGACTGACTCTCACCTTTGCTAAAGGTTTCTACACCAGCTGATTTGTCGACTCATATTCCTGACACAATAATCACAGGCCCCAACCTTGCATTCTGCGTTCCCCAGAGCTGCAAAGGAGACCTATAATACTCTCCTTCCTCTCGCTTGAGGATAACATCCAAATTTGATTCTTCCCAACAGACCTGGCCGGATGGATCAGAAACAAGCTAACTACCGTACCTAGTCAGAAGTCTTGTCTTAACCCAAATGCCCAACATTTGCCTCAATCTTGTAAACCTATTTCTGAGAAGCTTCATTTCAGTGGGGTGTAATGTTTGAGACAGTTTTAATTTTCTTCAGACTCTGCTTTTATTTATATGCCAGCAGATCTCCATTTCCCAGCCCTTAATAATATCGTTAGTAGACCTCATTCCTTCCAGGTCCTTTTCAATCACTAGGATTCTCTTTCAATAGTCCCAGATTCTTCTGCTAGCTTCTTTGGTAAGGCTTTTGCAAGGAATAACTCGTTTCATTCTTATTACAACACTTTATGTTATGTATAGTTAAGTTGATAAAGAAGAACTGGGTCACAGAGTCCAAAATCCATGACTCTTAAACAATTATATTTGTTTCTCCAAGTACCGGAAACATCTCCCTTTGGAGGCATTGCTCCTCTTAGGACATTTGCTAACTCAGTAACCTGCTAACCAAATTATAACAATATTGCTGATGAATTGGAACTACTACAAATACTCTTTATGCATCACAGGGGTGAAAGAAGTAACCAGATTCATACGGGCAGCTATCTGACTTAGACTGCATCTTTCATCCCTCTTTACACAGACATATGTTAACTCAAGCCCCTCTTTTTGAACATATTGATCTAAGAACGGACACTATAAATATATATGGGGTTGCCTTTGCTTGCCTACCATTTGTGTTTTCTTTTGAGACAGACTTTGCCTGTTATTGTTCATACTCGGATGATAGAATCACAAAACCACGATCTTTCTTAAAGAAAGAATAAAGAAAAGTACAGTTATTTTAAAAGATGAGCAAAGTGATGTGTTTTAAATGCAGCCACTTTAACTTGAATATTATTGCATGTCCCTGGATAAAATAGTGAAGTTCTTGCTGTGTAATAAAATACACCTTACATTTTTAAATCACCTTACTATATACATTAGGAGCAGTTGAAGTAGTCTAAGCATTCTGATGTATTTATTTTTTATACAGAAAAAATAACAATCTGGATTATGTATATATAAAGTATACAAATTAACATGTTGTGGCAAGGTACCACTTTATTTATTTCTTTTATAATGAGATATTTGTCTGTTTCTTCTGCTTTTTAAGTCTTTCCTGCAGCACCTGGGTGGCTCAGTCGGTTGGGCATCCGACTTCGGCTCAGGTCATGATCTCACCGTTAGTGGGTTTGAGCCCCGCGTCGGGCTCTGTGCTGACAGCTCAGAGCCTGCAGCCTGTTTTGGATTCTATGTCTTCCTCTCTCTCTGACCCTCCCTGTCTCTCTCTCTCTCTCTGTCTCTCAGAAATAAATTAAAAACATTAAAAAAAAAAAAGTCTTTCCTGAGCCTCAGATCCATATAGACAACTATTTGTTGAGTGTCAAGAAGAAATTTATAGGTGTTTACAGACAGCATAAGCTGAGTACAAAGTAGAACTTACCAGTTCTCTTTCTTGGCCCAAGACCTGCTCATCCTCTGGTCTTAGCAAATGGCTCCATTCCATCTATTGCTCAAACTGGAACATGAGAGCTATCTTTTTTCCATCTTACCTATTATTTACCCTTCTGTCAGACTACTTTGATTGGTTGCCTAATTTACCACAATACCCCCTAAACTGGTCTTCTGTCTTCATTTTACCCCCTCTAGTGTTCTCTCTACTCTATCAGAAAAATCTTTCTGATCTTAGGAAATCTGATCATATCCTTCTCTTATTTAAAGACCTTAAATGACTCCCTAGTGTTTTCAGGTTATCTGGACCTTTACATGTGGTATTTCCCCTTCCTGGAACCCCATTACCCCACCACCTTTACCAAGCCAACTGCTATTTCCTTCAGGTTACAATTTAAAACATCACTTTCTAAAGGAATATTTCCTTGTCCCCAGGTCTAGATTAATGTAGCTCTTATATGCTTCAAGATCATACTGTATTTCCCTCTCATAGCACTTATAGAAAAAGTTTTAAATTCTACTTTCTGGCTTCTACCAGATGGCAAGATCTATGAAGACAGTGACTCACCATCATTTGCACTTAACCAAGTGCTTGAATTATTTTATGAACTCAATATCTATTATATGAAAGAGTGAAAAATGAATCTTAACATCACACTTATAATAAGTTAGGTATCTATCTTGCTCAAAGAGTTATTCTGCTTTATAATATTGGAATTAAGCTGAATATTAATGATTAGTTTTCAATATAAATTAATTTTCATCCTTTAAGAAAGACAACAGCAAATTACAAACTCCAAAGGCACCATTGGCTCATGGAAGGAAAAAAAAAAAACTAGCATTTTGAATTCAGTGAGATATACATTAAAATTTTATAATAAAAAACCTACTCTCTTTTCACGAAATAACCTTAGGAAAACATTCCATGCCTAGTACCATGGTTATCACTACAATATTTTCCTTACTTGTATTAAAAAAATATTTTTATAACAGTTTTGCTCCATACCACCTTATTCGATCTGCTCCAACTACACTAAAGGCTTTGCTATCCCTTGAGTTGCCCAGGCATGCTCCCAGCTCCCACCTTAGACTTTTAGATTAGCTGTCCCTCTACCTGAAATGCTCTTCCCTCTGCCT